GGAACCTTGCCACCAAGTGATGTCCATGGTGATCTATTGATCAAGTAACATGCCATGTTCACTGCTTTTGCCCAAAAACACTTAGAGAGCCCAACATTCAATCTGAGACACCTTGCTCTTTCAACAATGATTCTATTCAGCCGCTCAGCAACACCATTCTGTTGTGGTGTCTTACGCACTGTATAGTGCCTTTGAATTCCATGTTCTGCATAGAATTTCTGAAATTCTTTATAGTATATTCTGTCCTGTTATCAGACCTCAGGTACTTGATTTTTCTTCCAGTCTGGTTCTCAACCTCAGCTTTCCACAACTTAAATTTCTCAAACACTTCAGATTTATGTTTCAAGAAATACACCCAAACTTTCCTAGAAAAAACGTCAGTAAACGTAACATAATATCGAGAGCCACCCATTGAAGGTTCCCTAGTAGGTCCCCAAACATCAAAATGCACATAATCTAGAATCCATTTAGTTTTATACTGCCCAGTAGAAAAACTGACTCTAGTTTGTTTCCCAAGGACACAGAACTCACAGAAATCTAGCTTACAACATTTAACTCTTTTTAACAGATTCCTTTTGTGCAAATTAGACAAACTACGTTCACCAAGGTGACCCAAACGTAAATGCCACAACCTAGTAGTATCATCACTAGACTCAACAGAATGTGCTCAACCTACAACAGTACTACCCAACAACCTATAAATGTTCCATGTGGTCATTTTCCCTTTCATCACAGTTAAAGCACCCTTACTAATTTTAATGGTTTCCATATCACTTTCAGACCTATTAATAAAACCATTAGCATGCAAACTGCCAAGAGAAATCAGGTTCTTAGTTAATCCCGGTATATGTCTGACATCATGCAAAGTTTTGACAATACCATCATACATCTGGATGTTAACATCACCAATACCTATGATATTATGACATCTATCATCACCCAAAAAAACAGAACCGAAAGTACTTGACTTATAGGTTGTGAACCACTCCCTGTTAGGTGTAATATGATAAGAACATCCTGAGTCTAGAATCCAAGCATCTAACAACTTACTTGATGAAACTGCTAGAACATCACCTTTACTATAATAAGAGTCATCAGCATGTACCACGTCCGTAGCTTCCTGCTTCTTCAACTCCTTCCAATCAACGTCTTCAATATTAACTGGCTTTTCCGCCTTCAAAGTTTTCAGAAGTCCCTGATGTGCCAACAAATCCTTTACCCTAGACTGCTATAACCGAAAAGTCCCTGATGCGCCTTCATTCATGCCCGGACCTGATGAAAAGGGGTCCGAAGAGTGTTTCCTCGACGAAAGAGCTGTCTTTTTAACCTTCTTCCCATTCTTTTTTTCGCGCTTAGTCCGCTTGGAAGGTGGAGTTGGAGAACCTACATGAGAATCAAAATTAATTTTCTTACCACTAGAGCCTGAGCGATCCATGACGAAAGGACGATCAGAGATAGGCGAAGGAAGATGACTTAATATAGCCCTCATTTATAGGTCAAAGAGAAGCAGGAAAATAAATGCAGGTAATCAAGGTAAATCTCCTCCAAATCGAAACGGATAGACTAGAGAATCGGGCCATTAATTTGGGCTAGCAAAGAGGAAACTGCCAAGGACTGAGAACCATCAGGGGAATATCGCGTCAATAATCCCAGGCATTCAATGGTGATATCCAAGATCAAGGAGTAGATCTAGAAGGCAAGGGAAATAATTTCAAACACCAAATGAAGGATTTAATGTTTGAAAGTGAAAGACTTGATGATGGGTTATGAACCCAATGGACTAAAGGCCCAAAAAGAATAATTAGATAAAAAGGCCTGGCCCGGACGATTGGCCCAAAAGATGGAGTATATTAACGGACAAGGGCCTGACCGGCGAAACGAGCCGACCGAGCCCAGGACTCGGCTTAGTAACAGGCCGAGTCCCAAGCAGTCGGTCCCTGCGAAAAGTCAACTTCTGATAGTACCGTTGGGCTATAAATGGAGAAGGTGACCGTTCTGCCAAAGGAGTGTAACGGCCGAGCAACGACTCCTAGCTCTAATTGCTGTTTATTGCTTTAATCAAGGCATTTAAGCCTCCTTCTTTGAAACTCTCACTCCCACCTGTATAAATAGGAGAGGGGGAAGTCAAGAGGGGGGACATTCTGATTTAACCCAGAGATTAAGCACAGTACTACAAAATTACATAGCAGTCTTCTCGTTATTTCCTATCTTTGTCTATCCATTTTTTCGGTGAATCCACCAACTCTTTGGTTGTGTTGGACCTCCGTGGGCTCCCAAAAGTCCTAAAACCAACACTCATCCTAATCAAAGTTGGCATAATTAGTACTCTATTTTACTCTTATCAAATTAAATAATAATTTAGTAGCTACAACAAAAAATAATACATATGCATTTCTTTAATTTAGAATTATATGTCTACAATGCCTTTATTCAAAAAAAAAAAAATTATTATCAATAAATTAAATAAGAGAAATAATTTCATTAGTTATATTGTCTTTATTTTTCTCTAATATAAAAATTTTTTACATTCAAATTCATCAATTGATTATATTCGCTACATTGTCCCTACAATGTCTTTATTCAAAAAAAAAATTTATTCATTATCAATAAATTAATTAAGAGAAATAATTTTATTAGTTCTAATGTCTTTATTTTTCTCCAATGTAAAAAATATTCTTTACATTCAAATTCATCAATTGATTATATTCACTACATTGTCTATTATCTTTTTTGTGCACTATTTTTTAATTAAATATCAAAGTTATAATACAAAATAATGCTATATATATTTATTTATCAAGTATTTTAATACCATGAAAAAAATAAAAAAAAAAATATATAATTAAGCCGATCATATTAACTACTTGAAAGATTTGTTGACAATGAGAGTATTCAAATCACACAACAAATTGAAGTGTGAAACTACCTCGCAATGTCCTTGTTTGACAATCAGTAGTTAGCGGTAGCAGATTATATTAGCGGATTTGACCAGCAAATTATATCAATGGTTGGTTAAAAGATATTTTAAAAAAATAACTGTTTAGATTAACATGTAAAATGACATAATAATAATAATAATAATAATAATAATAATAATAATAATAATAATAATAATAATAATAATAATATAATTGTTTTAATAATAATAATAATAATAATAATAATAATTTAATAAAAGAAATAAAATTAAAAAAAAAAAAGAATAAAACATATGAGGAGCCAAACGTTCGACTCCCCTTAGTTTTGCCAATTTTCCCACATCGGTAGGCATGATCACGGTTCAGTTCGAACTGAACGGTTCGAACCGAACCGTGTACTGTTGAACTGAAATTGAAATTGAACCGTCCGTTCGGTTCAGGTTCCGGTTCCTAACCGGAACCAATATTGTTCCGATTAAGGTTCGAGATGAAAAGGAACCGGAACCGTCGAAAAAAATTAAAAATTATAGCTTTTTTAAAAAAATAAATCCTATTAGAACCGGCGGTTCCAACCGGAACCGTCGATTCTGAACCGGAATCGAAACCGGAACCTTACTATAAGGTTCCGGTTCTGGTTTGTCCATTTGCGGAACCGGAACCGCGATCACCTCTACACATCGGTAGAAAAAGTGGCATGGGAGCCTTGAAGCTCCTATAAAATGGGCCTTAAGGCTCCAATTTCAAAATTAAGCTTGCCCATCAACAGATGGGCAAGTAGTGAGCCAGCGAAACTGGCTCTTGTTATTCAAGGAGTCGAAATGGCTCTACAGTAAACTTTTTTTTTTTTTTTTTATTTTTAATATAGAGGTGTTTTGGCAATCATTATTGCGTGGACCATGGTCCACACAAATTGTGCGGACCATATTTTGTCTACTGTAAAATAATGTACATTCAGTACAAAAATAATGTACATTGTATTCAGGGGATTTACATTATTTTTGTTCTGAGTGTACATTATATTGTATAATGTACATTCAGTACAAAAATAATGTACATTTAATATATTAAAAATATACTTTTTGTTATGGTACACGTAACATTGTGTGGACCATGGTCCACACAATAATTTGTCTTGCTTTTGGGGAAATCATTCTAAAAAACGCTAAGTGAAAATATTGTAAATTGTAATGTTTGTATTTTCATTGGTTTGGAACAAATTGTTGCTTCAAACTGTTGAATGACCAAACATTTTCTTTAGCATTTTGATATTTGGGTTACATCATATTTACCAACCGTTTAATATCTTTGGGTTACATTATATTTAAAAATTTTAAACTTTTACTACTTCATCTAAATTCCTTAAATTAGGAATTTCTTTATCCATAATAATTCATTTAACAATAATGGTAGATATAAATGAACACTGAGCAAAACACCTAAAGGACTGGTACCATTGATTGATTCATTGATCTTGTATGTGCATTCATTAAATATATTAGAACCCTTTGCAATAAAAATACATGGTTACTATTTAAAAAAAAAAGTTTAGTGACAATTATAATGAATCCCCTATATTATCTTGTATTCATATTATGAGTTATATATTTAAATAAACAAATTCGACATTAAATTACTTATGTATGAGCTTCTCATATATAATCTTACATTGATTTACTTTCAAATATTTATTTAATTATAAACATTGAGCATTAACTCATTCGCGCAATGCGTGTGTGAAACAAGTACTATTAATAAAAGTAAAATCATCATCTTCAACTTTCTCGCCCAAACTACAAACTAATATGCATATTAATTAATCTATACTATTAATAAAAGTTGGTGTTATCGGATTCGGATAAGAAACAATTACCTCTGGTGGAGTTGGAGAAGTTGCTCTCTTTGTGGGGGAAGAGCCTGGGGGACTTTCCAGAAATGACAATTCTAGACGAAAGCAGCATAGGTTTTGATGGAAAACATGTTGATAACTGAAGAGTTGGCTATGACAAGAAATCGTTGAAGACAGAGCGTGAAACGTTGGTAACACAAGTGACAGATGAGCAAAAGAATATCTACGACTCTATGATGAATGATATTGATTCTAATGGAGGTGGATTGTTCTTTGTGTATGGTTACGGAGGAACGAGCAAGATGTTTGTGTGGAGAACATTATCGTCAAAGATAAGGAGGCACGGTGATATTGTTCTCAATGTTACTTCGAGTAGAATAACATCTTTGCTATTACTGGGAGGGCAAGACGACGCATTCAAGATTTGCTATACAACTCTCTTTGAACGAAGATTCTATGTGCAATATATCGTAAGACAGTGACCTTGCTGAGCTTATAATAAGGAGAAAATTGATAATATGGGACGGAGCACCGATGACGCACACATACTATTTTGAGGTTTTGGACAAAACTATGAGGGATCTATTGAGGTTCGCCATACCAGGTAGTGCTTAAAAGACATTTGGTGGAAAGACAGTAGTTTTGGGCGACGATTTTAGACATATTCTTCCCATTATTTCGAAAGCAACGAGACCAATAGTTGTCGAAGCCACTATTAATTCTTCCTACATCTGGACAAATTGCAAGGTATTAAGCCTCACAAATAACTTGAGACTACGGAACTTAGTTTCAGAGGAAGATAAACAGACGGTTGATTGGTTTTCAAAATGGATTGCAGACATCGGAGATGGGATTACAGGGGTTGTAAATGACGGTTTGTCTGAGATCGATATTCCGACACGATTTCTGTTGAAGTGTGGACCCAATCCAATAGCAACTATAGTGGAAAACACCTTCCCAAGCACGAGATATGGCATGTTTGATAACAGTTATTATCCTTAGTGAAACGATTGACAGATAACAACGAGACAGACATTTCAGGAACATGTAAAACATTAAACAACTTTAACGATTTGGAAACCGAAGGAATTACTGCATGACTCACACGCGAGATCGCCAAACCTGTGCCATTACCCACTCGTAGAACGTCGTCACCGTGGTAGTCCTCGGAATGCGAGATCACGCCGGAATCTGGAGTGGCGTGCGTAGAAGCTCTTGTATCCGGTAGCCACGACATGACCGTCGGCGGTACACCCCCTTCACCTGCGACGGCAACATGCGCTTGGGATGGTGGTGGCTCGGAGTAGCACTGATAACAGTATGCGGCCGAATGACCTTGAGACCTGCAGATCTGGCATTGCAGACCTCCACCCCGACCACGTCTGCCGCCGCCACCACGCTGATTGCCTCCTCGACCTCCTCCACCGTGAAACTGACGACCGCCGCTACCCTGTTGTCGTCCGCCTCAGCCGGCATACAATGCCGAGGGAACACCGCTCGCCCTCGCCAGTTGATAGGCCGGAAAGTCATCCGCATGGATGAACTGCTGGACCTGCAAGTAGTCCGCCAATTGCCGAATCGTCACCGGCGTACCGGTGACCGCCAGGGAAGCTCCCATAGATCGGAACTCCGGCCGCAACCCCCCAATAACGTACAGATTCTGCTCCGACAGCGTCATGTTTCGCCCGGCGAGTGCTTGGTCCTTGACCAAGTGTTGCGCACGAGCCAAATACTTCGGTGTAGAGCTGTCTCCTTGTCGAAGAGACTAAAACTGCCCCATCAGATTGAGGCACCGAACCTGTGAAGACGGACCAAGGGTCGTCTCTGCCGCCAGCCATACACCGCGGGAGGTCGTCTATCCAAGCAATAGGTACATGACCTCATAAGAGATCGATGAGATGAGCAAGGAGATGATAGAAGCATCCTGCTCTACCCACGCTTCGTACGCCGGGTTTGGTGTAGCGGAGGCGGCTTCGTCAGAGTTATTGCCGGCGGGAAGCTCCAGAACCGGCGATGGGCATGGACGAATGCCATCAATGAAACCGAGTAAACGTTGTCCTTGTAGGAAGGGTATGATTTGCGTTCGCCAGTAGAGATAATTCCGGTGAGTAAGTTTAAGTGACACAAAATGATGTGCACTGGGAAGGGAATTTGGGTGGTGTTTGGGGAGGAGATGGTGGTGGTGGTAAGAGTGCGCTCGGAGCTTTGCGACATTGTCGAAAGAGAGGGAGACAGAAAAATGAATGTAGGATTCCTACTGGCTAACTGATACCAGATGAGAGTTGAAGCGATGATTCAATTCACTAACAGAATTCAGGTTACAATAATACTCTCAGGAGAGAGAGATAACTAATATGCTTAAGACTATATCATTAACTTAAGCTACAAAATGTACATAATAAAATACATAACAATAGTATAGTCTAATATAGACGAGGATGGACAAAATTCTGTTACTACTACCAATGTCTTCTACAAAGAGGTTTTCAATAATGTGTAATTCAAATCAGTGATATTATGTTTTCTTTTTATACAAAGATGACAAAATTGATATATATCTACATAGAAAATATATATCTTCCATGCAAATAATTTCTATAACTAAGTTGCTAGACAACGAACTAATTAGCTCAATTAATACAAATCATAAACACTAATATATAAAATCTTTAAAGTTTCAGCGCCAGATGCGTATATCTACACGTTATCTATTAATTAGACAATTATATATTCGAATTCAATCAATGATAACATCATAAAATATAATCGATCCAACTCAATTCTTCAATTGCACTATATAATATTCGATGTTATAATACGTACAATTGTACATCGATCCAAATATTTTAAGAATATTATAACAAATCTATCCCGTGCAACGCACGGGTGAAAATACTAATAATAATAAATAAATAGCCACATAGGCCTACATGTGAAAAGGTAACTGGTTATTAAGTGAATCAAGTGGCAAATTGGTAGGATTATATGAAATTGGTTGATTTAAGGAGTTAGTTGCAAATTTTTAAAATTGAGTGGTTCAATTACATTTTTTTTTGGTGTAGTTCAATGATTTATTTTATCATTATTCTCCTAATGGGAAAATTGTAAAACATGTCCATCTATAATATGCCAATTATCAATGTCTCCACTGAATTATAATTAGTGTACACCGTTAAATAGGGGTAAATATGTAATTTACTTATTTTTTCCTTTTTATTTTTATATTTTCCCTCTGTTTCCTTTTACCCATTCGACCAAAGGCAACGGGGAATCAAAGGCAAAATATAAAAACAAAAAGTAAAAATCAAGTAAATTATATATTTACTTCGACTTAACGGTGTACACTAACGAGGAATCACAAGTCTGTTATTGGAAGGGCTATATGTGCATTGTTTTAATAATTGAAGGGCAACATTTACACCATTAATAATTCAAGGGTGACATTGATAATTGACATATTATAGAGGGACATTTTTTACAATTTTTCCTTCTAAATTTTTGGTTTAAACATTTTCTTAGTATCAACAAGTGTTGGGAGTAAAAGCAATGAATTAAATATATATATAGACTCGACTCTGTTTGGTAAAATAGTTAGCCTATTAATTAATTTTGAATTATTTGACTATAATTAATTATTTAACATGATTAAACAATCAATATGAGTGTTTGATTAATTAGTGTTGATTTTAGGGTTTTTGGGTTCAGGGAGGTCCAACACAACCTTAGTTGGTGGATTCACCTTTCAAAAATAGAAGGAGTAAGCACTTTCTATGAATATGGGTCTCTACTCTCTCGGCATGAACTCGCCCCTTTTTACAGTTTTTGAGGGACCTTTTATAGTAGGTCTCCCTTGAATTTTGATTTAGAACATACATTTAAGGCCATAATTGGCCGATTAATCACTAGTTATTCCTAAGGGCCGTTGGGCTGCCGTTACTGGGCCTCCCAACGGCTCTTTAACGGGGCTCTTTAACGCCTTCTTAAATGCTCCAACGGCTCTTTGTTTCTTGCGCCGACCGAGCACTCGCGCTGACCTCGGGGTCGGTCCGACTCCTTGATTCGGTCCATGCTTCTCCCGGGCTTTCCTTCTTTTGGGCCTGGCTTCTTCCTTTTTCTAGGCCACTCTTTATTTCTTGGGCTTCTTCTCTCTTTCTCAGGCTTTGGGCCCGGGGTCCACACTCCATCAATTAGTTTTTTGTAATAACTTATTATTTTAAGATGCTAAAATTTAAAAAATTGTTCAAAATAATTTTTGCAATAATTTTTTTAAAAAAATTATTTTATATGTAATCAATTATTAATTAATAATTAATTTACTAAATACTTTTATATAATCATGCTATCAACTAATCTAACCCACTAATCTAATGATTAATAATCATTTACCAAACAGGCAAATACCCGTAGTCATGCAGTAGAATTCTACTTTTTTTCTTTAAATAACAATATAGGGGCGTTTGGTTCACGGAATCTTTGATTACCCCAGGTAATAGGATTACCTGGGGGTAAGTAATGTAAGATTACCTGATGTGTTTGGTTAAAGTTGCAGGAATGTAACATTAACTTGTTTGGTTGAAGGGTATATGTTAGGGTATATTACATCAATTACTTAAATGCCCTCATATAAATTGAAAGGTGTAAATTGCAAGTCTTCTTTTCCATAATTCAAAATTTAACAAGATAATAATAATAATAATAATAATAATAATAATAATAATAATAATAATAATAATAATGATGATGATGATGATGATGGAATGCTACTGGAAAGATGCAATTCAATAATTATGAATAATAATAATAATAATAATAATAATAATAATAATAATAATAATAATAATAATAATAATAATAAATTGATAGAAGAAAAATAGTTCATACACACAAATATATGAAAAACACAGAACAAATTAAGCTTTAGATTACAAGAAAAAAAAAACGCACCTTTGAAGATCTTCAATGAAGAGAAAAATGGAGAAGCGATGCAATAGGATGGAGTTTCGCAACTTGGTGGAGCGTTTCTCGTCTGATGGAGCGTCTCTCGTTTGATGAGTCTGATGAATCTTGTGAATAAAAGAAGAATATACAAGGGCAATTTTGAAATATTCAAAAGTAATCTCACATTACCTAATAAAAATTCGGTAATCAGATTACCTCCAACATTACCATATTTCTGACCTGACAGTAATGTTGATTACCTTTCTCATATTGGCAGGGTAATCAAAGATTCCGTGAACCAAACGGCCCCTATGGGTATAGATCGATTGAGAAATCAAGTCAACGCCAATGCTCAGACTAATCATTGAAGGTGGCAATGGCTTCTATTAAGAATCTTTGAGCTGAAAACGAGCTGATAGATTGAGGGAGGGCGGCAGAAATGGCAGAAGTGGTGGTGAATTTGCTGATAGAGAATTTGACCCAGCTTCTAAAAGAGAACATCAAGCTCATCTTCGGCCTCAAGGACGACGTCGAGCAGCTTCTAGATGACCTGGACGACTTCAAGGCCTTCCTCAGAGAAGCCGGAAAGTCCCGCTACGAAAACGACATCCTCAAGCGCCTCATCACCAAGATCCGGGTGGTGGTCACTAAGGCCGAGGATCTCATCGACCAATATGTGGTGGCCGCCAAATCCCACTACGACAGGAAATGGACACGCTTTCTGGACGTCGAATACCCGCTTCGTAAACGGGAACTCGCCGAAGAGATTCAGAAAGTTCGGGTTAGCGTCAACGAGATCCGACAGGATCCGGATTATGCCCGTAATGCTCTCCAAGAGGAAGCGTTACCCAACATAGGAGCCAGGCAGAATCAGGTATAGTAGCTAATTTTGTAAAATGTATTTACAATTAATTGAACTAAAATTTTTGTAGTATTAAAAAAGAACTAATTTTTTTTATTTTTAAAACCATTTTTTTGGTTGATCGGTTGATGAACTAATTATTAATCGAAATAATATTAATCAAATTTTAAGAATAAGTAATTTTAATTACAATTTGAGTATATCAATTCGTGTTCATTACCAATAATTTCCGTTCATATTACCAATATATATGTTTATAAATTAAGAATCTTGGTTAACTGATTGATTAATTTGATCAACCAAACTTACAAATCAAATTAACTAGGCAAAAATTTGTGTGAAATTGGTCGGATCAAGATAAAAATGTAATATATATTAGGAGAAATATAATATTAATCAAGTATAAAGTGTCTCTACTTTACTTTATCAGAAAAAGTATCATACTTTTGAAGAAAAATATATTTTTTAATTTAAATGCATTATATTTTTTCACAAAAATATTACATTTTTCTTTATAAGTAATAAACACTTTATTTTAGTATTACATTTTTTTTTTTATAAGTACTTGTTTCATATATAAGGATTCGTGAGACGGTTTCGCAGGAGAGTCACTCAATTAACTAATATCCAAAATTCTTTTAAAAAATCAAGATCATTAGCTGAATCCAAATATTTCTTAAAAAAAAAAAAACAGAACCAAAATTTACACACTCCTACCCACTTTCATCCCATCACTTTAGTTTGGTGTAAATAACAGATAACTGAAATTTACACACTCCTACCCACTCTCATCCCATCACTTTAGTTTGGTGCAAATAACTTTTCTCATAAATATGATGATGATGATTAATAGTTACTAAGGAAGTGCTATTCTGTGTTTGTAAAATAGGTTCCTAATGTGGAGGAAGAGCATGTGGTGGGGTTTGATGGCGAGGCTAATGCTATAATCCAACGTCTGGTTGATGGATCAAAAGGGTTTGAAGTTATCTCGATTGTGGGTATGCCCGGACTTGGGAAAACCACTTTGGCCAACAAGGTGTTCAAGGATGAAAGAGTTGAAAATTACTTCATGAATCGTGCCTGGATTTATGTTTCTGGAGTGTACAAAAGAAGGGATGTTTTTGTAAGAATCTTGAAGGAGCTAACCAAGCAGTACAGGAGCTACGTTGATGAAATGAGTGATGGAGATTTAGCATTGGAAATAAAAAAGTTTTTGGGGTCTGCAAAATATTTGATTGTCCTAGATGATGTTTGGAAAGTAGAACACTGGAATGAGCTCAAGATTGCATTCCCACCCAACAAAGGGAGCAGGGTATTGGTTTCTACACGGTACAATGATGTGGCTATAGAAGCTGATTCTAAGGGCGACCCTCATAACTTAAAGTTTTTGAACGAGGAAGAAAGCTGGGAACTACTTCAGAAGAAGCTCTTCCAAAAGAAAATATGTCCTGATGAGTTAAAAAGGCCTGGGAAAATTATTGCTAAAAATTGCAATGGACTACCATTAGTAATGGTGACTATTGCTGGTGTTCTCTTACATAAAGCAGAAATATCTGCTGAATGGGACAGGGTAGCTGAAAGCATGGGTGACTTCCTGAGAATGAAACTAGAGAGTTACAAGGATCTAATACAAATGAGTTATGACCAATTGCCTTATGACCTGAAGAGTTGCTTCCTATATTTCGGGGCTTTTCCTCAAGCAAATGAGATCCCAGCTGGAAAACTCATTAGGTTGTGGATTGCTGAGGGGTTTGTTATTGAGGATGAGAAACAATTATTAAGCCTGGAGGACATAGCTCATGAAAAGTTGAGTGATCTTGTCAATAGGAATTTGGTGATGGCTATGCAAAGAAAGTCGAATGGACAAATCAAAACGTGTCGCATTCATGACATGTTGCATGAGTTCTGCAAGAGTGAGGCCAAAGAGGAGAATCTATTTGAAGAAATCAACATGAGGAGGCAACTGCATAAAATTCGCCGCCTTAGTGTCAGGTGCAATGTCTCGGAGATCCTCTATTCAGGTCTTGCTGCTGAACATGTCCGCTCTTTGTTATGCTTCTCCTCAAATGAACATGAACTGCCTGCAGTAAAACTTGCAATCATTCGTGAAGCATTTCCACTGCTAAGGGTGTTACACACTGCACCAGATGAATCCATCATCTTCACACGTTTTCCTAGAGACATGACTAAGTTGTTCCATTTAAGGTACATTGCAATATCAACTACCCTCAAGATCCTTCCTCAAGCCATTGATAGTCTGTGGAACATGCAAACTCTTATAGTTAGGACACAGCAAAGCACCCTTGATATCAAAGGAGACATATGGCAAATGACACGATTGAGGCACTTGCAAACAAATTCATCTGCTCAATTGCCTCCACCTTCTTCCTCGAAGACCAAGAAAAATCCTTTTCCAAATAGAAACTTGCAAACACTTTCAAGGATTTCACCTGAAAGCTGCACAGCAGCTTCATTGGTCAAAGCTCCAGATTTGAAAAACTTGGGTATACAGGGAAATTTGGTTAAGCTTTTTGAAACCAACAAGGATACTGGGTCTAGTTTGTTCAAAAACCTCAGAGAATTGCACTTGTTGGAGAAATTGAAGCTGCTGAATCATGGTGGGGAGTTGCAATGCCTCCCTCAAAAGTATGAATTTCCACAAAAGATTAGGAGGCTAACCTTGTCTGGAACACAGCTCAAATGGAGTGAATTATCTGTATTGGGATCACTGGAGTACCTTGAAATTCTCAAATTGGTAGAAAATGCATTCAAAGGAGATAAGTGGGAGCCATCTGAAGGTGACTTTCCTCGTCTCCAATTTTTGAGAATTGAGAGGACAGATTTGAAGACATGGAAGGCTTCTAGCCTCCACTTCCCATTACTAAAGAGACTCATTCTTAGACAATGCCTTAATCTGGAGGAAGTCCCACCTAGCCTGGCGGACATAGACAATCTTCAGGAGATGGAGCTGAACCTTACCAACTCAAATGCTGCACTGTCGGCCTGGAACATTTTACAGATAAAACAAGGGAAAGAGAAGGAAGTAAAGGAGAAAGGAGGAACCCCCCGGAGATTCAAGCTCAGTATCTATCCTCCTGATGAGCTCAAACTGATACAGCAAATTTAAAAATGCCATGGTGTCATCTAGATGATCTTTTGAGTTGTGCAGGTCAGTTAAAAATCTCTTCTTTTTTTTTTTTCTGCAGTAATGAGTCTTGTTCCTTGCAGCTCTTTACATATTATTTATAGTTTGGCAAAATTATATTCATTCAAAATGAAGTGGCTAAAGCATGTTCTGTTTCTCCATGTCTGCATATATTTAGGTGGTGTCATCTAGATGATCTTTTGAGTTGTGCAGGTCAGTTAAAAATCTCTTCTTTTTTTTTTTTTCTGCAGTAATGATTCTTGTTCCTTGCAGCTCTTTACATATTATTTATAGTTTGGCAAAATTATATTCATTCAAAATGAAGTGACTAAAGCATGTTCTGTTTCTCCATGTCTGCATATATTTAGGTGAACCGTATTGGTCCGCGTCTAAGCGTGGGTTTGTGAAGGGCATGAAGTGAGGATCTTTGTATGCAGATGAGATGGTAGCATTCTGGAATGGTCTACCCAATCATTGTTTTGGTAAAATTCTGTGTGCTATGTTTGGTGTGGTGAGAGCTTATGTTTTTGGAAATTCAATTTGTTATTTGTGGTGGTTGTTATTCATTGGGGATTTGGAACACATATTTGAACTATGGTCAAGATGATTGCACTTTGTGTTTTTTTTTTTTTTTTTGAAGGTGCTTGCACTTTGTGTTATTTTTTATTTTTTTGGTGTAAACCATAAGGGTGTCACTGGAACCCGGGATAATTGTCGCTTGTAAGAATCGAACCTGGATTATCCCCTACAAAGAAAGCTCATTTGCCACTTGAGCTACCGCCATGGGTTCTTAGATTGCCTTTATGATTACACTACAACTATGTTAATAATTTCATCAAGAGAGACTGGGAGAGTGTCTCCATTTTCAACTTCTTTCTTTGTCAAGAGTTTTATCATGGCAATTTTTGATTTTCCAGTTCTACTGCTCTAATCTGAGTGAGTTTATCAACATTTTTTTCTTTTATTATCCTGAGGGTCAGGGAGGGGTAATATTGCAATTAAGGTTTTTTTTTTTTTTTTTGGTAGTCATGTGAGCAAAAGTTTGGCGATGTGGGATAATTAGGATTCTATTGTTTGTATTGTATTACGACTCTTCTCATGTACTCATATTTATATTCTCCTCATCTCGTATCAGTAGTTTCAGGGCTTTCTCATGGCAGCTAATGCCTCGGATTCCCATAACAGTTCTGTTGGAGTTTCCTCTGAACAGGCTGTGTCCACATTACTCAATTTTACATTATTTCTTATTTTTATTTTAAAATTTTTATAATTATAATTAAAAATTTATAGATATATTTTAAACACATGAATAATTATAATATCACTTCTTTATAAAATCGTAAACATGGATGAATTACAAAAACATAAAAAAAAATACCAATGAACACCTAATTTGGATATGAAAAAATGGCCTATATTCCCTACTTTCACATCATGGTTCAACCACCATCTAAAGCCGTATATGAATTTCGTAACAAACATAATCTACTAACCTTTGAAGTTTTAGTCATGGAAAGGGTGCGTGTCCATGCAGAGATGGACCAATTTTCTTTGGTATTGCCCGTAGTAATCAACCACTGCAATCACATCTTCATTTTCTGGGTTCAACACTCCCAGATTCATCAGCTTATCCTGCACTGATAATCTTGATTCATCATCCAGTTCCGGGCTGGACAGGAACTCAGCATGTATTTCCCGGCAAGCAAGAATGAACATTGCAGCCGTGTCTGGCTGTGCCTCACGCAGTGCTGCCAATGCCTCTTGCAATGCACCAGCCGCAACATACAAGATCAGTGCCCTGCATTGCATTGTGTCCACACAAAAGTAAGAATGGTTAGGTCGCCTAGCATTTAAATGGTGGCCCATTGGTATAATGAGTTGAACATCTAGTTTATACATAAAGTATCTACTTCAAATTCGAGGAACATTAAATGATGAGCATTCAATTCGAACATGATATGATGAACATTTAGTTCAAATCTGCTCGAGGCTTAGCTACTAGGGTGAACCTTGTCAGAGTAAAGTTTTGGAAGTGGTTTCAAGATAAAACAATTGAATGTTAGTTTGATCTTGTTAGTGGGGGTTTAGCTAATTTTCCAACATTAATGATACCTCCAAATGTTATGTTCAGAATGCAGCACATTCTCAGCCCACCTGTGCAAAACCCTGCAAGATGAAACACATTGAAAATCAATAGTCCCCTACTAAGATGCCAAACGGGAATCCAATTAGTAGAATTAAAAGGTTCCGACTTTCAAAGTTAAAATTATGAAGATAATAATTGGGAAGCAATCGGGGCAATTTTTTTAGTTACCCTTCAGAAAACCATATTTGTTGCTACGTAAGTTCTAGTGTTGCCAACTTGCCTCTGGCAAAAGATTATACAGCTCTTCAAGTGTACATTACCATGACCCTCTATCAATATCTAATCAACCGTGCAACATTGTTCTAATCTAAAAAATAAACAAGAAGAAACAAGTTTCTCAAAGTTAAAACAATGTACCGTGCATAATCAGATCCTTTTAAATGTGAGGCAGCTAATGTTGCAGCATCTGTCCAGCATCCAGCATCTTGTAGCTGCCATATAGAGAGCAGTAAACTATGAGCTAGAAATATTGGCAATAAAGGCAGAATCTCATTTGTCTACTCAAGGGCACTTCAATATTGAGAAGCCTGACACCAGCCTTAGCACTCTGATTACGCAGGAATACGATAGCAACAGATGTTCAAATTCACAGTTGTGTGCAGCTTCAGCATGCTGGGATAATTTATAAAGCAATAAATGAAGAATCAGTGTGTCATGATATACTTCGAAATAATAAAGATTGCACTAGCATCCAGGGTTCTCATACCATGCACAGCCCAGAGAACGGAGATATACACAACCTCACCACTGAATAACAGAGGGATTCTTTCCATGGCTTGTTAAACCATTACCTATTTACCAGTGCATGAACACTTGGCTACTACACTAAGCTTATGATGTAGACGATACAAAAGAAAGAAGGTAATAACTAAATAAAACAAAAGAGCTAAGGCAAAAGTAGATGGTTATTTCTGACTGACAAATTACCCCATCTATTATTACCTTTGATATGTGTCATGGGTATATTATATCAGTCAGGCTGGTTAGGCTAGGGGTCATTTAAAGATATATGTCAAATTTTGGAGGAACAAACATTAGGGAGTAGAGTGTATACTTTGTCAAACACCAGGGGCAAATAAAATGAAATTTCATACTGGATTATGCCTGCCTTAGAAAATGAAGTTTAACATCAGATGCCCCAAGCCAAGTAGATTTAAGATTGTAAACGTTAAAAATCCCACATTGAAAAAATAAAAGAGAACATATGGGTTTATAAGGCCATAGGTTAGACTAGCTAATTGATTGGATTTAGTCTTTTAGTGTGGTTTGGCCCATGTGCATTATATCAGAGCGTTCATCTCATAGACAAATGCAATTTGTTTGGTTTCATTTATGTTCACAAACAAGCTCATTTACCTATTAGCAAATGAGTTCAATTTTTGTTTCTTAATAGTATCATTTACCTATTTGAGAATGAACATACTTTTGTCCACATCAGTTGGAGATAAATATTGTAACCTCTAATTTACTACCTAAAATTTGGTTGAGAGACTCCTTCCTGTACAATAGAGAAGTACAACAATCTCAAATCAAGTTCAGTTGCTAAAAAATTTAACACAAGCCAAGTTTGAGTATTAAAGATTTTAAATGAGTAAACCCTAAATATAATTATATAAACAAACAAAAAAAAATAATCTCAAACAAAGTGTAATACCTATCCAATAATGTCCATATGCTTTAGCCAATATGTCCTTGCTCACAAGGTGGGACATAGACTTTAAAGCATATATTTAGCCAATTATGGCATATGCTTCAATATTACACCATAAAGGTCCATGAGTGAGTGATTAAAAGTAGACTTTGAGACTCTACCTGAGAACAAGCTTCTTGAAACCTCCCAACAGCACAGAGTAGATGTGTGCCAGATAATGACCTGTCTGTCCTAACCATATTTGCTGCAACAACCTATATAAGGATAACAAGGGATATTATAAAAGAGCAACTGTTAAATTCTTGAAAACCAAGTTAGGTTTTTCTTTCAAGGAAGCAGTTAAAGAAACAAGTACCTTGACTGCTAGTTCAAGTAAAGATGTTGACACTGCAGATGAAAGAGCAACAGCACGCAACGCATTTGCATAGAAATAAGAACTCTCTGGAGGTGTAGAAAGCAGTAAACTAACAGCACCTTCTAAGTTTCCAACGGATATGAGTCTGATAATCAGCAGCAACATAGCAGACAATTAGGCCAAAGAGATGCTTTAAAAGTGAATTGCTTAACAAATTACAGAACAGTTTCCAAATAGGATGTGCACTAGGACAAGCAAATATATTGTGCACATGGAAACAGACACCCTTCCTTCTGTAAAATTACATCCTTTCTCTGATATGATTTGAAGTGGTAGTAAAGGAAGAATTTTGTCAATTTCTATCTTGCTTGCTTCAGCTGAAGCAGATCTCTGCAGCAGAAGCAACTCTAAACTTCCAATATGAGAATGCTTTGCCTCAGAATACAATGTTGAAGAAGATAGTGGCTTCTCAAGGAGAAATCAACCAAAAACTCAATTGAGATTCATTACCAGATTTCAGCCACAATGGAATGCTTAGTTAAATCTCCATTATAGTTCAGATTCATCATTCATCCACTTTCAAAAAGAACCACAGTTTCTGAAAATAGAATTTGAATGTACTGCCTAGAGCTGTTTCTCTAATACTTATCATTGCCTCATCATTTTGTTTCATAATTTATCCCTCCTACCAACAAAACTGTTATGGAATATATTTAATATATGAAATCTCTATAGATTAGACAGTCTTAGAGATTTAGGTAGATAGGCATATGGAAACTTGTTTCCAATTCGAAATCTTCTAGCAGGTATTTATAGGGCTTTATATTCACTTTTCAATAGACAAATGATGACAACATATTCAGAAATCTTCTCTTTACTTTCGTAACATGGTATCAGAGCCTTTACAATATTTTTTTTTTTGTCGCTCCATTGTCGTCACGTTTTGACTAGCGCGTGAGGCTCATCCAACGATTGGAAAATGTTTTGGTCAACCTGTTCCTAGGTCGCCTAAGTCCGTTTGTCTTGGTTCTGGACTTAGTTTGGACCATGCCGTCTGCTTTACGGTTGGTTTGTCTCGTACACCTTCATGCTCCCTTTTTTGTGTGTTTTGTGATCTGTGTTGGTGGGTATGGCTGAGTATAAATGTGTTGCTGCTGCTGCTGCCTCGGGATCTTATGTTGAAGAGGGGCTTGCGTCTGGGGGGTCTCTACGTTTGACCTCTAGAAGGATGGAGTCCGTTGCTTGTTTTGGTGTTGTCCCTCTCTTTTTTTATGCTCATTGTCGTTTGGGGCATGTTTTCCTTTCGTTGGTAAAGAATGTGTGTCCTCCAATTCGGAGTTTGTCTTCTTTACCTTGTGTGTCCAAGCTTGTTCGGTCCACCACGTTGAGTTCACCCAGCTGTCTGTGGTATTGGTGGCGTTCCCGGAGTTGCGGTATTGGTGGCGTCAAAGCTTCCGGTTCAGGGGAGGGTCCAATCCCAAGCTTGTTCGGTCCACCACGTTGAGTTCACCCAGCTGTTCGTGGTATTGGTGGTGTTCCCGGAGTTGAGATATTGGTGGCGTAAGCTTCCGCTTCAGGGGAGGGTCCAATCCCAAGCTTGTTCGGTCCACCACGTTGAGTTCACCCAGCTCCGTGGTATTGGTGGCGTTCAAAGCTTTCGTTTCAAGGGAGTGTCCTAAATGGATTTGAGTTAGTTCGTTATTTAGTTATTTTGGGTTATCAGTTATTTGTGTAACAAGTTGGGCATGATTAATATCTATGCTCCAACTTGAGGGGTATGTTATGGAATATATTTAATATATGGAATCTCTATAGATTAGGTAGTCTTAGGGATTTAGGTAGGTATGCATATGGAAACTTATTTCCTATTCGAAGTCTTCTAGCATGTATTTATAGGGCTTTATATTCTCTTTTCAATAGACAACTGACGACAACATATTCAGAAATCTTCTCTTTACTTTCGTAACAAAATTCTTCTGTTATATGAAAACAAAAGGTCTGAATAGTCCAAAGGGGCAAATTTAATCACAGTGGAATGCTAGTTAAATCTTTATTCAGATTCATGGACTTTTTAGAAGAACCACAGTTTCTGAATGTTAAGAGTCCCACACTGAAAATATAAGAGAACATATGGGTTTATAACATGTTAGACTAACTAATTGATTGGATTCAATCTTTTAGTGTGGTTTGACCCATGTGCATTATAACCTAATTGAGTGACCTTATTTGAAGTGAGAGAGCTAGCTAATTGTTTAGATTCAGTTTTTTAGTGTGTTTTGTCCCATGTGCATTATAGCCCAATTGAGTGACCTTGGCCCAATCTAGATTGTAACACTGAAAATAAAATCTTAATGTACTATACAACAGAGCTGTTTCTGTAATACTTGCAGCCTCATTATTTGATTGACAACATTTTGATCTTTTATCTAATCACACTAGCCCCTTTGGACTATTCAGACCTTTTGTTTTCACATAAAAGAAGGTTTTGTTGATTAGACGGGGATAAAGTATTAAAGAAAATCACTGAAAGTCCTTGACAGTGAAGAAATTTTAAAGAGGAGCACAATAAATTATTGAACTAAAAAGTCTACATTGTAAGAGAGACTCCCAACTCCAAAGATCCTCAAGAAATTTTGAAGTTAACGGATTTTCTCAAACCAAAATTGTTGAAACAACCAAATATGGTTTGATTCAGAATCTTAATACTCCGTAATATGTAACTGGATTATGTTGCTAGGGGAACCCAGTAAACTCGACCACTAGATCACTTACAGATTTATCACAATCAACCAAAGTCTCTTTCACCCCTCTTAAAATTCTGCTGGGAGCATGCTGGCACACTCAAAATAAAAGAGTTTGATCACATTATTTAAAAAAAAAAAATTGGATAGCTCAAAAAAAATTATTCCAAAGAATCAACATATCGGTAGTAGCACTAATATTAAACACTTAAACAGTTGGTGTAACCACAACCCCCTCCCCCAACGGGAAAAAAAAAGAAGCAAAAATAACTAGATCACACCAACCTACAATCATTGTATGCTTGAGCCAAAAATGAAGCAGTATAATGACAAATATAGGAGTAGCAGTGAAACATACTCACTCGTGTACACGGTTTTGACTAGCCTCTTCACCGTCCAGTTTCTCATGCCAAGGGATACGCTCATTAGCACGTTTCCACAACTCTTCTTGTTTGAAAGCCATCAAACCAAGTTGACTGTTACTCTGCCAGAAAGATATCCAACTCACAAATCATGGTCAATGTAAGAGCTACGGAGTTCATTCTGTATAACTTTGATAAGAAAACTTCTGTCAACAGTCAAAACATCAATCAGAAAACATAAAAGTTATCAAATGTCAAGATAGTAACTTCTAAAATGACTAACCAGCGTCCCTGATCCAGGAGCTACTTTTCCCTTTGATGATATCCTATTCAGCATAGATGCCTCGTCAAACTCTGAAATCGGTGTGGATGGAGGAACTTTTATTACGGACTTGTTAATCAACTCATTCATCCGATGAGTTAGGGCTTGAGGCAATTGCAGCCAGAAAATAGCTTCCATTGGTTCACCAAATATTGCAGCAGCAAAGGCAAATCTCAATGCACAACCTCTATTGACAATACCAGCATAGAGTTTCACCCTCTCATCATCAATTATGCAGCCTTGGGTACAAATGATGGAAAGATATCAGAAACTACACTACCTATCAGACATTAATTAAACATTAAACATGGAAATGATCTCTTAAATACCATTCGTACAACATTAGATAAAATCAATACCACACCTTCTCTACGGTAAGGCTCCAATACTTTAAGGAGCATCTCAGGTACGACAGAATCACCAATATCTGGTGGATCAAGCATGTAACCACGAAGATCACTAGTTGATGAGGGAGTCCCAGGAATTTCATGATGTCCATACCCCATGGTTGTAGAAAATATATTGAACCATGATGGCTTTACACCCAGCTGTATGATTGTCCGCAAAGCCTGTAACAAGTAAACAATGTTGAAGGAGTTTGGAGAATAAAGTATTGTCTTGTTATTTACACTCTGTCTACAAGCAACTACACAGCACCATATATATAGGTAGAAGATGGAATACTAATAGGGCCCTAGGGATACTAACAGACATAGAAACTGAACAGTCATAGGAAATAATAAAAGCATAATAATGAGTCTTAATGAGTCTCAACATCCCCCCTCAAGCTGGAGCATGAATATCAAAAGCTCCAAGCTTGGTACACAAATATTCAACTCTGGGACCTCTTAAAGCTTTGGTGAAGATATCAGCCAACTGATCATTTGTACCCACGAATGAGGTAACGATTTCCCCGGATGTAATCTTTTCGCGAATAAAATGACAATCGACTTCGATGTGTTTTGTTCTCTCATGAAAGACAGGATTGGATGCAATATGCAAGGCTGCTTGATTGTCGCACATTAGTTTAATAGGCCCTTTCATGCAAAGATTTAATTCAGTCAAGAGATGCTTTAACCAGATTAGTTCACATGTTCCCAAGGCTATTGACCGATATTCTGCCTCTGCACTCGATCGAGCCACCACATTTTGCTTCTTACTTTTCCAAGATACTAGATTGCCACCAAGGAAAACGCAGTACCCTGATGTTGACTTTCTATCCCAAGAGCACCCAGCCCAATCTGCATCAGTATAACCAACAATCTCTGTATTTCCACGATCCTTGTATAAAACACCGTTCCCGGGAGACTTCTTGATGTATCGTAGGATCCTAATGACAGCTTCCCAATGGCTATCACACGGAGAAGCCAAAAATTGACTCACAACGCTAACTGCAAAAGAGATGTCAGGGCGAGTGACGGTTAAGTACAACAATTTTCCAACCAATCTTCGATATCTTCCTGGATTTGAAAAGGGCTTCCCTTGTTCCGGTACAAGCTTAATGTTAGGATCCATGGGAGTATCAATAGGTCTGCAATCACTCATACCTGTTTCCTCTAATATGTCTAAAGCATATTTTCGTTGAGATATACAAATCCCTTGCTTTGACTGGGCAACTTCTATCCCTAAGAAGTATTTTAATTTTCCAAGGTCTTTTGTCTCAAAATGTTGGAAAAGATGTTGCTTTAGCTGGAGTATTCCTTCTGCATCATCTCCTGTGATAACAATATCATCGACATAAACAACAAGATAAACGCTCTTACCATGTCGATGCCGGTAGAATACAGAATGATCCACTTTGCTTTGGACTAACCCAAACTCTTGCAGAACTGTACTAAAACGTCCGAACCAGGCACGTGGAGACTGTTTCAATCCATAAAGAGAACGTTTTAATTTGCAAACCAAATCAGTCTCCCCCCCTTGAGCAACAAAACCCGGAGGTTGCTCCATATACACCTCTTCTTTTAGATCCCCATGTAAAAAGGCATTCTTGATGTCAAGTTGGTATAGAGGCCAATGATGGATGGCAGCAATAGACAGAAAGATTCTGATAGAAGAGATCTTGGCTACGGGTGAGAACGTATCAGTGTAATCAACGCCAAACACTTGAGTATACCCCTTGGCTACAAGGCGAGCTTTGAGTCTATCTATCTGTCCATCAGGCCCAACTTTGACATTATAAACCCAACGACAACCAACAACTGTTTTGCCAGGAGGTAATGGAACCAAGTCCCAAGTTCCCGAGGATTGCAAAGCAACCATTTCATCTACCATAGCTTGCTGCCAACCAGGATGGGAAAGAGCTTCCCTAACCGAATTAGGAACAGAAACAGATGATAAACTGGAGATGAAAGCATTGTAAACAGGGGAAAACCGGTGATAAGAGACAAAATTATATATAGGGTAGGGATTGCGAGTAGACCGGTTACCTACCCGACTAGCAATGGGCGGACTGGAGATTGGAGCAGGACCCGAATCCGAGGGAAGGGACCGCTCAGGAGATGAATCAGCAGGTTCAATGTTTGCAGCAGTAGTGGTTGGTGGTAATTTTGACCGACGATGATAGGTGAACTGGAAAGGAGAAACAGTGTGGGTTTGTGATGGATTGGGAGGTAGGACAACAGGAGATATTGGTATTTCTGTCCCTCCTTCAAATGAGGGAACTGGTAGGACATCAGGAAAAGGATCCACCACCCTTATAGAGTCAGATGAAAAGAACGGAGTGTACTCAAAGAAGGTAACATTTGGTGATACATAGAATCGCTGTGTCTCAGGACAATAACACCTGAACCCTTTTTGAACCCTAGAGTACCCCACAAAAATACATTTCAAGGACTTGGGTGACAGTTTATCACGACCAGGAGTAATATCCCGAACAAAGCAAGTGCAACCAAAAACCCTCAGCGGAAGCTTGTGTAATGACTCTTGAGGAAACAATATGTTATAAGGTATTTTGCCATGTAGAACAGACGATGGCATACGGTTAATAAGGTAACATGAGTGGAGGATAGCATCTCCCCAGAAATAAGAGGGAACCTTATAGTGAAGGAGCATAGTCCGAGCGGTTTCCACTAGATGCCTATTCTTTCGTTCAGACACACCATTCTGTTGTGGAGTATCTGGACAAGAAGACTCATGGAGAATACCTTCAGAGTCAAGGAGGGTAGACAAAGGAGTATTGAAATATTCCCTGGCATTATCACTTCGAAGAACTTTAATAGAGACTCCAAATTGATTCTTGATTTCATTATGAAATTTCTGAAAGATGTTGAATAGATCAGAACGTCGTTGCATTAGGAAAACCCAAGTACAACACGAAAAGTCATCAATAAAAGTAACAAAATATTTAAAACCTAACACAGAAGTGACACGACAAGGGCCCCAAATATCACTGTGAACTAAGGAAAAAGGGGATGAGGACACTTTATTAACCCGTTCAGGAAAGGAGGTTCTTGAATGTTTCCCAAATTGACAAGATTCACACTCTAGTGAAGACAGCTTTGAGAGACTCGGTTCAAGTTGTTGTAGTTTCTTCAAACTTGGATGACCTAGACGACAATGAGTAAGGGAAGGAGAAATAGTAGCACTACAGACAGCGGAAGCAGGAGTGGATAGACGGTATAACCCTTTTGATTCATACCCCGAGCCAATCGTCTTCCCCGAACGACGGTCCTGTATAACAACCGAATCAGGAGAAAAAGTGACAAGACAATCAAGAGAACGAGTAAGTTGACGAATGGAAATCAAATTAAAAGGACAAGTAGGTATATGCAAGACTGATGACAAGGGTAAATCAGGAAGAGGTCTTGCTTTACCAACTCCTTTAGCAGAACATATGGATCCATTACCAAACACAATGGACGGAAGAGACTTAGAGTTTGTGAGATGGGTCAATAAGGAAGAATTACCACATATATGTTCGGAGGCACCTGAATCAAGGACCCAGGGTCCGAGAGGTCCAGATTGAGAAACAAGGGCAGCATGAGTCTCTCCCGTATGAGCCAAAGGAGTGAAAACAGTAGCTTGGGCATTAGCCTTAAACCGTGCAAACTCTTCATATTCAGCAAGAGAGACATTTTTAGAACCTGATTCTTCTAGTTTGAGTTGAGCCACATTTGTAGGAGCAGTCAACGGTTTCCCATGCAGTTTCCAACATCGGTCCCGTGTGTGTCCAGATCTATTGCAGTAATCACAGTATCTAGCATTTTTCTGCCCACTACGGTCTTTATTCCGATTGCCCAGATTATTACCACGACTTCCTTGAATCACAAGAGCAGATTGTTCTGTAGTGGATGCAGAAGTTTCACCAGGAAAAGAGGCCACTTGAAGAAGGCGTTTGAACAACTCTTGGACCCCTGGCACACCTTTATCCCCAAGAATCTGGTTTCGAGTATTCTCAAACTCGGGGCCTAATTTAGTCAAAACCAGAACAACAAAAAACTTTTCACGTTGGGCAATCTGTTCATCAGGTGTCCCTCCAACGGGTAAAAGCTTATTAAACTCAGTTAATAAACTTTGAGTTTTCCCAAGAAAGGCTTCCATACTCATACCATCCTTCTTTAAATTAACCAAATTATCAACAACTGTGTAACATTGTGAAATATCATTAGTGTACAAGGATTTGGCTTGACTCCATACCTCAACACATGTTTTAAAAACTCTAAATAGTTGAATTAACTCAGGTGAAAGGGATTGCCATAGAAGACTACAAAGTTGTGCATCCACCCTTTTCCAAATTGCCTTCTCATTTTCTGGTACCTCAGTTTCTACCCCATGTTCCAAGTGGTCAATAACACCCTGGCCCATAAACCACATTTCAACGGCATCCGACCAAGAGTGGTAGTTTTGTGACCCACATAATTTTTCAGAGGTAATAACTGGATTTCCAGATAAATTAGGCACAAACACTGAGCGAGAAATAGCATTTTCAACATTGGTAGAAGTAGCATTTTCAACATTGGTAGAAGTTTCCTTGGTTCCAGTTGAAGACATGGTTGATAAAAAGGAAGAATATTACCAGGAAAGCCAGAGGAGGGTCGAAAATGAAACTGGAAAATATCGCCGGAAAATATCGCCGGAGGAGGTCTCACGCGCCGGCGCGTGGAGGCGCGTGGCGGCGGAAGGCTGCGCGTGAGGTGGCGCGTGAGGGCGCGTGCGGCAGCGGTTTGAGACGGGACTTCGACGGCCGGGGTCGCCTGCACTTCCTGACCGGCGGTGGTTCTTCGGAATTTTATGAAAACTTGCGATGAGGAGTTTTCGAAGAAGAAGCGTAGACAGACCCTGCACTGCTACTGTTCATCCTCGAAATGCTCGGAAATAAAAAGGGGTTCAGGCCAATGGTGGCTCTGATACCATGTTGAAGGAGTTTGGAGAATAAAGTATTGTCTTGTTATTTACACTCTGTCTACAAGCAACTACACAGCACCATATATATAGGTAGAAGATGGAATACTAATAGGGCCCTAGGGATACTAACAGACATAGAAACTGAACAGTCATAGGAAATAATAAAAGCATAATAATGAGTCTTAATGAGTCTCAACAAACAAGAAAGCAGAAAATCACAGGTGAAGATTGTTCTGAGAAGAGCGAAAGCAGAAAATCACAGGTCAAGATTTTTCTGAGAAGAGGTTTGATGTTACGTTTTACTAATAAAGGGAATGGATATTCCACCCTAAAGGAAGAAAAATTTTCAAGGATTCACCAGTTCATTGAAGAAAGAGATCTTTGACCCTATTATTGTGTGCTAATTTTTGAAAAATTTATTCAAATCATGTGTATATATGAATAGATGTACCTGCAAAATTTATTGAATCAATTATTGAATCCATTTATACAACATGATTAATTGCTTACTGTTCAAAGGCTTAGGAGAAATACCTTAAGTTCTGGCAACTCTCTGTCTCACACACCTTAGAGAGAATACTCCACCCTATAAATACAAGCTAGAGGACCTATGATATGGAAACAAGTTTCCATATACCTCCCCACTCAAAACCCTAATCTCCAAGCTTCCTAATACGTAAGAATACCATATTTGAACATTCCATAACACTTACCAAATAGGTACAAACTCTTCTACTACTGGGAATAGATTGCACAAGTGTTAACTAAAACGGATTCTCCCTTTTATTGAATACAACCTAGAAACTCAAAATAGTTCTGGACTATGTTCAGTGTATGTTTTCAAAACAGAGATTTAAAAAAAAAGAAATAAAAAATTAACTTAGAATAAAAACAAAGAAGCAAAAAATGCCATATTAGTTTAGATTTCAGGGGACAGCATTAGTTTTAGTTACGGATTTGCATAACTTACAATGGCATGTGCTGTAGGTAATAATATAGGAGAACATAAAGGCACTGGTCGGAACCTCTCTTTTGATGATGGACTATTCTGGAGATACGGCACTTTTTTATTTCTGCAAAAATGTAAGAGTTGTCACATGTGAGTGCCTTTTAACGTTAAAGAGTTTAATAACATGTTAAGAAAACAGAGATACCAACGAAGAGAAAATAAGCAGCCAATGAAGCAACAAAAGATGAATTTACAGCCAACGAGTAGCAAAATCAAAAGAAACTGAAGAAATCTGAAAAATATAGTTCTGTGATTGAACAAAATAGTAATTTTGAAAAAAAAAAAGTTAATTAATTACAAACCTTTAAATTGGTAATATTATATTCCCTACTGTTATTGTTAGAGATAAGAACAAAGGTATGCTTTATTGACTGAAACTTAAGAAAAAGAACAGGAAGTCACAAGACTTTCCCCAACAAGAGTTTTAGGCTCTTGCCCCACAAGAGTTTTAGGCTCTTGCCTAGCTACTAAAGCTTAAAGACTATGGAAGATTATTGGATGATTTACTCTCATCTAGAGATTCTAATTTATAGTGCTAGGAAATAAATAATTATAGAAAGGAGATGATTGTGGAGATGATTGTTGAGATGATTATGCCTCTATCTATTTTTGTCAAAATCCCTTGAGTTAAGCCTTCCTTGTATATTCTGATTTGCCTGATTTGCATCCTTCCTTTTTTTTCTGAGTAAACCATCTCTTATTTTGGGTGCGTATCATTGCCACCCACCAAAGAAACAGCCTTGTCCCCAAGGCTAGATTGGAAAGACTGCCCTATATTGTCCGGTGTCGATTTGGTCAGTTACACCAGGCTCGTCACTCGTTTCGTCCTGGTCATCCTCTGCTGCAATTAGAGTTTGCAAGGATTTATTCGGGCATACATGAAGCGGACTGTACGGTTGCTGACAACGGAAACAAAGCCCTTTGGCGCGCATGTCCAGATACTCTTTGTTAGAATAATGTCGTGCCGGAGCTCGTGATGTTGATGTGCTGGAATTGCATACTGAAGACTGCATAGCAGGACACGCAGGTTGTGTTTGGGAGGGGAAGGAAGATGTTTGATTGCTGCCAGAAAATTGAGACTGGGTTGGAATGGGTTTGGGCTGTGAATAATTCAAAACAGAATTGGTTTGGGAATTCTTCCCATGCCCATTAGACCAAGTAGACCCACTATGTGAATGAATTATCTGGAGCGCTGCATTTTCGTCTTTCAGACTGCGTCCAAGGAGCCGGCCTGTGGAGAGAAATTCAATTTCTCGTTCTGCCGCGCGAGCGACACGCATCGCTGTTCGGAGATCTGTCACATCATTCGGTCGGAGCCGCACCCGAATTGCAGGTTTCAAGCCGTTGAGAAAAAGCCCTAATTGAATGTGAGGAGCAAGTCCAGGAATTTGGGCAATGCGAGCTCGAAACGCAGCGATGAATTCATCCACCAAGCCCGTTTGACGAAGAGCGGCAAGCTGTTCAAACGGTGGCCCAGGCAATTCGTCGCCAAATTCTTCCAAAAGGTCATGTGTGAATTGAGTCCAAGTAAGAGTGGGTTGTTGTTGTTGTAGCCATCGGAGCCAATGTAGAGCTGCCCCCTCCATACTAACGAAAGCTGTTGGGACCTTCAAATCCTCTCGGGTGTGATGAATGGCAAAGTACTGCTCCACTCTAGCTAACCACCCAATTGGATCGGTGCCTTCAAATGTAGGGAGTTCTGTTTTTCCAATGGGCAGCGAGGTGTTGTCCGGCTGAACATGTTCTGGGAGAGAGGTTGAATTCGGCGTTGGGATGGAAGTTGATGAAGCACTGGCATTGTTGTGCCCTCCGCCTTGGAAGGAGAGAGCGATGAGATCAGACATCCTAGCCACAGAAGCTTCTACGGCTGCAAATCGATCGGTCAATGTAGTGAATTCAGTACGCAGTGCATCTTGGTTCTTCTCTAACGTCTCTATGCGGGAATCACGTGTGTTCGCCATTCAACAGCAGGTCGGATCAATTTGTTAGAGATAAGAACAAAGGTATGCTTTATTGACTGAAACTTAAGAAAAAGAACAGGAAGTCACAAGACTTTCCCCAACAAGAGTTTTAGGCTCTTGCCCCACAAGAGTTTTAGGCTCTTGCCTAGCTACTAAAGCTTAAAGACTATGGAAGATTATTGGATGATTTACTCTCATCTAGAGATTCTAATTTATAGTGCTAGGAAATAAATAATTATAGAAAGGAGATGATTGTGGAGATGATTGTTGAGATGATTATGCCTCTATCTATTTTTGTCAAAATCCCTTGAGTTAAGCCTTCCTTGTATATTCTGATTTGCCTGATTTGCATCCTTCCTTTTTTTTCTGAGTAAACCATCTCTTATTTTGGGTGCGTATCAGTTATAAACTAAGATTGAGTAGAGTCACTCAATTGAGCTATAATACACATGGGTCGAACCACACTAAAAGATTAAATTCAACCAAAAGTGGACCGAACCCTCTCGGGCCAAACCACACTAAAAGACTGAATTCAACCAAAACGGGGTCCGGGCCCTCCTCCCCTGAAACAAAGCTCTGGACGACGGGTGAACCCAAAGTGGACCGAACGGCTCTAATACCATGTTATAATTTAAGATTAGGCTAGGGTCACTCAATTGGGCTATAATAGCCATGGGCCGAACCACACTAAAAGATTGAATTCAACCAATTAGCTAGTCTAACTCATGGCCTTATAAACCCATATGTTCTCTCTTATATTTTCCTGACAATGGTCAATGTCTAACTGCTATATTATTTTCTTACATTAATATCATAGTTAAACTTTTCTTTGAAACACATGCCTAGTCAAACTCTGTCACACACACATGTTAAATGAAATGGAGAGATATGTTAACAGAATTAACATAGATAAAGGAAAACAAAATAAGCTGATTGCAAACAAAGGTCATTATTGCACATACATATTAACTTCAACAAGGCGAAAGCTGCTATCAGCTCCAGCAATGCATAATACAAGTGGATCATTCTTATCATTCCGTACAGGTAACCAATCAAGCTCCAAGACTAGAGTTCCAGGATATTGAGGTTGCAAAAGTGAATTGGCTAATGGATCTGTTGAATCCTGAAAATCACACATTTTGTTATAGGCTCTATAACAAAATGCACCATTATAAACCCCTTATTCTTGACGACAATGGAAAGTAAATGAAAATGGCAAACAAAACAAAGAAACAAAATGATGGAAGCTAATCTGCTTACCAAATCAAATACAGAAAATGTGTTATCATAAAATAGAACAGCAATGCGCCCCAGGCTATCATCTCCAGCAACAACTGGAGCAAACTTAATTCTCCGTACCCCTTCCCTATGGGTGTTAAGTGAGGATGACTGGCCAGTATTTACATCCCACCAACGTACATTCCCTGACCTGTCCCCCATAACCTGAGTGATAATTACATTACTGCCTCTAAATAAAAAATGTTGAAAAGAGAAATATCAGCAGTTGTCAAAAGGATTGAAGATAAGTAGACTATGTACGATATACCACATGAGGCAGACGATAGGCCATAGCTGTTACCAGTCCGTCAGATGTAATAAATGATGAAGAAGGCCACTTCGGTCTGTAAGAAGCCAATATCATTAAATGAGTAGAATTAAGCAGGGCTTTTGCGCACGCGCGCGCGTGTGTAGTATAACAGTGGAAGTAGCATATTTGATAGGAGTAATAACTGTGGTTAAAAATAAAGAAAAGGTCTGTGCACTTTTAGACTGGAAAAATAAAAAGGAAAGGAACATTTTTGCAAATTTTGAAATTGGTAATGGCTCTAGGTTATGAATATGATGAAACTGTGGATAAACTGCACAATTCCCCTTGGAAATGTTGAAGATAATAATTACGGAGTATAAAATAATAAACATATATCCTCACTAACACATTAAAGTTGAGGTGAAACACAACATTTTATATTTCAAAATAGAGTCCCAGCCCAGTTTGTAGTGGCCCAATTCTGTTTCTATACGTTGTCTACTCAGCCTAGTTCTATCTACTTTGGGAGGGGGTATTAAATTTCACATCACCACCCATCTTTTCTGTGGTTTATAAGCCTGTTAGGGCTTACCACATTATTGAGCTATCTTTTTGGGACATGCTACGAATTTTCCATAGTTCTATCATGTTAACCATGTCTTGCGAAAAGAAAATATCAAGTTTTTTGAGTAAACCAATTTCGATGATAACAAATTATAATTTGCCAATTAATTTAGATTGACTAGGAAGCTTGCAAGCTGTACTCAATCTTTAATAACCAAAGAGCCCTATTTGTAGGTTACGCAAATTCCTTCTAAAGTCATCAATGTCATCAATGGAGGAAAGAAAAATAGAACTTGCCCCTCTAAAGTTTAGAGATTCAATGGCATGACTGCAAAATGCTGGCACATTGGGAGCCTTGTGAGCAGTTGAGCCAAATATTTATGTTAGAATCTAAGATTGGGCCGAGCTCACTCAACTAGGTTGTAATGCACATGGGCCAAACCACACTAAAAGATTGAATCCTATCAATTAGCTAGTCTAACCCCGTGGCCTTATAACTCCATATGTTTCTCTCTATTTTTTTAATGTGACTCTTAACAATTTCCATTGACTATGGAAGCAACTTTCAAAGCTTTTTTGGTAAAAAATTGGCCTACCTATAGGCCAATTTTGGCTTATTTGACAACTATTAATTGTTTGATTTAGTTAAAATATCAATATAAATGTTTGGTTAATTAGCTTTTTGCAACTCCAAAAGGCTAAAATTCAAAAAGTTACTCCAAACAACTTTTTCAATTAGCTTTTTGATAAAAGAAATTATGGCCCTGTTTGGTAAAAAAATTGGCCTATAGGCCAATTTTGACTTATTTGACCACTATTAATTGTTTGATTTAGTTAAAATATCAATATAAATGTTTGGTTAATTAGCTTTTTGCAACTCCAAAAAGGCTAAAATTCAAAAAGCTACTCCAAGCAACTTTTTCAATTAATATTTTGATAAAAGAAATTATACTAAACAGCTATCAGCTAACAGCTAATTTACCAAACATTTTTCTACAATCAGCTAATGTTATCAACTATTTATACCCTCTAATTAACACAATCAGCTAACAACTAACAGCTATCAGCTAACAACTAACAGCTATCAGCTAACATCCATTTTACCAAACAGGGCCTATACCAAATAGCTATCAGCTAACAGCTAATTTACCAAACACTTTTCTACAATCAGCTAATGTTACCAACTATTTATACCCTCTAATTAACACAATCAGCTAACAGGTAATAGCTATCAGCTAACAGCCATTTTACCAAACAGGGCCTTTATGAGTTCCATTGTAATCACAAATTGTTAAATTTAATGTCTATAATTAACAACAGCATTTCAATGGCATAAAGCCCCATAAGGAACAATGCCTACCTAGTAGTCCATTTCATGCAAATACTTGATCATCTGAATAAAGTATTGGTCAATTCTTGATGTTATACATGTCACTGAATACATACCTGAAGTCTCGGATCCTTCGTCCATGAACCTCAAAAACTCCAAGAGCCCCATTTACCAATGCAAAAGCAAAACTTTCTGAAAACTCATCCTGAGATCCATCAGTCCCAGTTCCTACAATAAAAATTTTCCTTCCTACGTGATAATTTGCTGACAGCTATATAGATAACGAACTTGCAATTAAGCAGAGAGATAAAGAGAAAGAAAGAAAATTGAGAAGAAAAAACTTGGAACTCACTAGTATCTTTGGTAGATGCATTTGGCAAAGATGTCTCTGGGGAAGGCGTCTCATCTGGCATGGTTGAAGGCTCGTTTGATGATGAAAGGGGAACTGTTGGAAGAGTCCATTCTAATACAGTGAAAGGCAGAGCTAAAGATCTAAGCTGCATGATGAAATTCGAAACAATAAATATGCCAATCTTAAGGAAAAGCATATGAAAAATGAAAGTAAAATGAGACCAAAGCCACCAAATATCTATATGTTTTTTTACAGTGTATAATACTAATTTGTAGCCTTATCCATTGAGTGTCCAAATGCTCACCCACTAACCACTAGGTCAGGGATCTTTTAAAACATGGTGAGCTTGCATGCATATTTTGAAAACTCTTGACAAAATGTGGGATTCTTCAATACTAGGTCTGAACTTTATAAATCCAAATGCAATTTCATATGAAAATAAGTTCCAAAAATAATTTTCCAGATGCATTTTGTTATTTTTTTCACATTTGTAAAATAAATTGCTAAATGAAAATCCAGAAGCATTTCCAATAATACTGAAAAAGGAAAATGTTCAAGAAATTTTCCATGGCATATTTTTAAAACAGAAAAATTGAGACTGATGCAAAGCATGCCATAATGTTTAATGTCAAGGACATGAAAGAAATATCTTGATGTGCTCCTTGACATTTCAAATTGATCAGAAATCATATCAGCATGTTTAATCTTGTCCATAACATGAAGAAGGATCAATGTATCAAATATCAATATCATACATCCAAGAAAAGAAGTGTCTACTAAAGTTGCAAAAATAATCACCACTCTAAACAAGGAATGAGCTGAATTACCATTATTGGAGTCTTAGTCATAGCCCAAACTTCTACTGGCGCATCGCGAAACAAGATTAGAAGGTACCTAAAAGATTTTATTGGCTATGATGAGAAATAATTTTGAATGGCTTTTTCAGAATGTTTATTAGCAGCATGGAAATCTATTCAGATATTTAAAATGAAATTATTGTTGTTGTCAATTAATCAAACCCAAAGAAAACCATCAGTTACAGTTCTCTCCATATAATATGTGCAGAATTTACCTACCAAAGTCTTCCTCTTTTTTCTTCTTTCTTCTTCTTCTTCTTCTTCTTTTATTTTTTTTTATAAATCAATAGTTTGCTGAAAGTGTATCAGAATGTGCGTAAAAGTATATGATGCTAAGTCTTTCATTAATTTATAAAATCAAAAGATGACCAAGAATACAGAGACAAACCTATACAACCACTAACATTACAAATATGAAGTGATGCTAGGAAGAAATTAAAAAATAGGTTTTGGCATTGATGGATTTTCTAAATAAAATTGCTGTATTCAATGGGGATGAAACTGTTACACTATCATGTTTATTATTGTTGTTGTTGTTGTTGTTGTTGTTGTTGTTGTTGTTGTTGCTATTGTTGTTATTATGGGAATCACCACCCTTCTGTTATTGGGGGATGAAAGAAGAAATTACCATCCCCATACAATTAGTGAATTAGACATACCATGCATCATATATACTTTATATAAAAATATTGAGTTTCTTATTTTTTGTGTAGAATAAATATCCTTACTCAAATTTTACTTAAGGAAAATTTGGGAAGAGTTGCAATAAAGTTCTTTAATTTTCCAAATTCATATATTTGATTCCTAAAAGAAGACTAATTCACAATTTATTTATTTGGGAACAATATGTTCCAATAAAATTTTTTACTTCTCCAAATAGGATTGTGGTGGAAATACTACAATAAAGACTACTTATTTTCCATAAAATTGCATATACAATTTTTCATAAGTATGCAAGTGTTATTGAAATACTATTTCAAAATAGGTTAAAATTAGTTAAAATCAAAGGATACAATAAAATTTAAATAAATGGTATATTTTGTTTCTCTTTACAAATCTAGGACTTTTTGTAAAATGAAAAGAAAGCAACTTCATTAGAATACTATTCCCAAATAACTAATAAGAATTTAGTGAAGTCAAGGGATGAATAAAATTTAATTATGACATATTAGTATTCATCTAAGAATCAATAATTTGAATTATAATTTAAGTAAAACCAGATGATAATTGGTGTGTCTAACATTATGAGGGATGGTTATTTCTTAGTTTGTCACCTTACCTTCAGAAACCCCAAGAATTTCACAAATAGATGGTTTGATCACTTGATGTATAATTTCTATCAGTTAAGTTTGTGAATTACTGTATCTCTTGGAGTCATCCTTTAAATTTATGCTAACACATGTCTAGTCTGGAACCAGGGGGAGGGGGGAAGCAAATGGCAGAATTTGTGTCATTAATTTGATCCAAATCTGTAATGTGATATATAGAACTTCTGATTTAGCCTTGCAAATTCAATGACTGTTATAAAGGCATTCTGCCTATGGGTGTTAAATGTGCACTTGTTTTGGTTTTAGACAAAGGTATGCATTGCTAAAAATTCTTATAAAAAGATTTAGGTCTGACAAACCTTCCTGAAGATGAGGACCTTAAAGCTCTTATAGGTGCTCGCTCTGGCTTCTGTAGAATTCGAAATGACCTATTGATTCCACTTCTAAGACAAGTCACAACAAGCCTATTGATGTAGCCCACAGGTTTCTCATTTCCCTGTGAGCACAAATAAAGTTAAAATGGTGACACTTTAAGTGTGATGAGAGCTAGAGAACTTGCAATCACTTAAGAAGTACTTGAAGAAATGTAAGGCATCATATGACATAATTAACTTCTGAAGAAATAATCAGCAAAGGCCTCTGCACGTGAATAATGGGATATGATGTGTTTACCCAAGAAAACAATAATGCTAAAATAGCATGCTCCAATGCTCCATACCTGTGTATAAGAGAATGACACCAATCTTGAATTACCAAGCCACCGCAATCCCCTAACAACAGTGCTATGGACAGAGAAACTAGCAGCAACAGCATTGGCAGAGACATCTATGACATCAATGGTACCACTTTGAGTTCCCAAAGCAACTAATGGAACTGCTACAGCAGGAGAGTTTCCCCCACCTTCATGGTTGTGCCACTCACTATTTAGTGCACAGAAATGAACAAACTCCTATAGGATCTTTGTAAACGTTGAATTAAATAAACACATAAAATGGTCAAGGATAATACACACGTGCCAATGTAGCTGTCAGTGAGGGGGATGGTACAGCAAGCATAGTCACTGCTGAAGAAAGAAGATGAAGCTGTCCAACTAGCATTATCTGCACCAAGGGGTTAGATCTTGAGCTTGATGAAGATAAGAGAAGCTTTATCAGACCAAAAAAAATTATATAAAAAATGGAATGACAAAGCAATAAAACCGATAAAGGCCGAGGACAAAATTGGCTTCATCAAGAAATTGGTCTAAATACAGAACAAAAAAATACTCTCTTCAAACCATAGCCTTGCCAGAGCCTAAGAATACCGACACCTGGCTCAAGCAATGCAAACCAACTGCAGTCATCCCCAAGTTTTCTATGTACATGGCATAATTGTTTAAACAGGCTCTTATATTATTACTGACTAACTCATATACAATAGCCGACAGCAAAAAGCATAAGGCACTTATAATTCATCTATGAATGACATTGAAAACACATTTAGAACAACTACCAAGGTTAACTATCTTATTCACCCCTGTCATATATAAGTTCTGCCAATGTCACCCTCAGTCCTCAGATTCAAGTAAAGTCAAGGTTTCACTAAGATACAACAAAGAGAAATTTTGACATTCAAGGTAATGGTTACTGAAAACTTTGTTAAGACTTCATATGTTCATACACAAACCTTAAATGACACTTCATCATTTTTAGCAGCATTTAACAGACAGCTCCTGCTGCTATTCACATCATTTGGCTGTGTGTACATATTAATCTCAGCACTCTTGGAAGGTACAAAATCCTTCTGACGATTTCCCAGAGTTTTACCAATATCTGCTACAGTGCAGAGCCTTTTTGCATTCTTTTGCTCATCTCCTGATCCTTCGGCAGTCAGGAGCCATTTCCATAATATCCCATCATCAGAAATGGAGATTAAAGGTGTTTTAGAAATCACAAGAGATTCATCACAAGAATCATAAGGATTATCTGGATCCGCATAAAGTGAAGGGTGCCCATCTGAATAAAGCTTGCTGATATTCTGAATAGTAGAATCTGAGTGGGAGATAACGACTGCGAGAACTGAGGGAGAGGGGACAGATGTACCAATTGAGGGTATCAGTTCTTCCATGGCACACATCATGTGTACCTGTTCTCCTCTGTTAAATGTGCCAAATTTATATATTCCCTTGAGTCCCTCAGGCAGGTTAATAAAAACTTTGAATAGTGTAAATCAGTAAAAAGAAAATTCATCTGACAAATTAAGCTTCTGAAGAGAGAATGGGTTTCAGAGACCAAAATTGTGACTAAAAATAAGCACGCAAAGACAAAACAATGGTTTAGTAAAAAAGAAGAGGACTTTACCACCTACTGCTCCCAAAAGATAGTAAACTTAGATTTTCATAAACAATGTTCACATGGCTCCTACTACAAACACAATAAACTTCATGGACACTTTACGTTCAAGAATACAGAAACTATTTTGCATAATATTGTAGGAGAAATGGCCATACGTGTCTACATTCTAGTCTAGTATGGCCATAGATCCTAGAATGCATTTTCATAGAATCAATCCCAGTGGTGAAGTAGGCTTTCAAGGAATAGGACCAATATGGGACTATAAGATCAACAGGATCCCAGAGGATTTTAAAAATCATATTGCAACACTACTAGTTTTTGTGTGTGTGCAATGTGTTTTGCTAGGATTTCCAGTACATAATGATCCAAGACTAGGCATAAGCCCCTAAAGAAATAGGGTACACTAGTCAGAATCAAACATTTAAAATTAGGACCGGAAAGATCAAAACCTTGAATACTTGGACAACAATATGCAGCTTACTTTTTGTACACTTTCTGCAGCACATTTTTGGAACTTTTTGACAAAAAAAAAAAAAAAAAAAAAAATCAAAACAATGCATTTTCCAATGGTCCATTGATGAAATCAGAAGCCCTAACAAACAAACAAACAATTTGCTACCATTAACATGGCATAATGCCAAAACAAGCAATTAGCTACCATCGTCCATCGACATGGCAGTAGTTCATCTCAGTATTTATTCCTAACCTCACTGAAGGGTATACACATCCATCTGTTTCATATCAATTTTTGTTCACAAAAAAAAGCATCTTATGAATCAAGTGAGGCTTCAAGAATATCTAACTCACACGCAGACACACACATATATATATATGCCGAATATTAAGACTTACTCTTTTCGCCGCCAAGTACTGAACTTCCCATCAAGATGAGCACAGTACAGAACCTCAATATTTGTATCCGGTAACACTTCCAGGAACTTTCCACAACCTCTTGGCAACCCAGTAGAGAATAACGCCGTCTCATACAACAAATCAAACACCACCAGCTCCCTCGGAAACGCCACAAAGAGTATATGCTTCCAGTGAGGTGAAAAAGCGAATCGCACTACGTACTTGGGAAATGTGGCCAATGCCGGAGCTCCGGTAGCAGCAGCAGTTGAATCCCTCTCTAGCCTCTGCAATTCCGAGGTGTCCGTACGTATATGCAATTCTTTAAGTGCAATGTCATTATCAGAATCCCCCAGTGCTTTGACAGAGAGCAGGAACCCTTTAAGCCCTAGGGTGCAGAAACGCCGAGAGTCGAAGGGATCGCGACGAAGGCAGGATAAGTACTCCGGAGAAGCGTCGTATTTGAAGAAGCAACGCCCAGTGTAAGTGTTGAACAGGCTGAGAAGATAAGGTCCGGATATCGCAGCGATGATCCACGAGTCGGATGCGGTTTGTATCCAACAAAGGTCCTGAACCCCTAGCTTGGGACTCACGCTGTTAGAACTTGTCTCGAAGAAGAGGAGAGGCGATTTAGACCTAAAATCGATGAGACATATTCTTCCTTGGCGGTCGCCGACGGCGATGAGGAGGTGGTGGTTGGTGGTCTCGGGGGAGAAGAGAAGGTGAGGGAGACCGATTGGGGACCAACGCAAGGAGGTGATGAAGGGGGAGAGAGCCGTGGATGCGGCGGCGGAGGTGGACAAAGCCGGGGGAAGGGGAATAGTGGCGATGAGCTGCATGGAGTGAGTTTCGACGACGGAAATGGAGCTGCCGGCTGCGTAAGCGAGGAGGCCGGCGGTGGAGAGGTCGGCGGATCCTCCATTGTTGCGGGACGGTGGGCCCGGGAGCATGCAGTCCCATGATTCAGTCGGCGGTCTATGCATCCACATTTTGAACTCAAATTCTACAGATCAATCAATGTAGTTTAGAATTTGGATTCAATGAAAGAAGAGAGAGAGAGAACGATGATGGCTCGCCGGAGGAGATCCCAATTCTCAGGCGAAGGAGAGGGAAGAAAGACATGATGGGATCATGGGCATACGAAATTGGAGACGATGCAACGTGTAACGTTTAGATGTTGGAAAAAAAAAAAAAAAGAATAATAATATCTCGCATGAAAATGGCTAACTCAATTCTTCTCCCCTTTTTTTTTTTTTTTTTTGAAATCCAACAAAGTTGGTATATTAGATAATCAAATGGTCCAAAAAAGAGGAGGAAAATCCCTCCATACAGAGCGTGAGGTAGCAGCACCCTCAGCTTTAGATAAAGTCTGGGTAGCCCGTTTGGCATCCCTGCTAATAAAACTAACTGATCGAACAGTTTGGAATAGAAGAAAATAACAAAATACATGACTACGCTGGTGTAAATAAAAGCATAGAGTCTGACAATCTGAGTAAACGATGATGTCTAAATAACCATGATCCTTGAGCCAACTAGCCAAGAGAGTGCTTCACGTATCACCATGGCTTCGGCCAGAATAGGATCCTGAGGGCATTGGAGTGGGCCATTTGCAACAACCACGAACGAACCATCACTGCGCTGAACATGGAAGCCAAATGCCAAGCAGCCTGCATAGGGAGATCTGTTCGGTGGGGGAGACAGCATCTGTAACACGAGAGTGGAAGAGGTCGCGACTTGCGATTGCTGAAGCGTTGCCCAAGCAGTGAACTGAGCTTGCAACTTACACCACACCACCGCCGGAGCTGGGAGGGACCCTTCCCACACCGCCTGGTTACGAGCCGTCCAAATCGCGTGAAGCACGCCACATATCAAGTCCCGGCTGTCACGAAGAACTTGTGTACCAGCGACCAACCATTCACTTGTCCAGCGCATAAAATCCAGGCTATTAGTTGAAGGTATCGGCAGACTTGAAACAGACCACACCTGCAAAGCGAAAGGGTATGAACACAAGGCATGCATGGTGTTTTCCTCACACAAACCACATGTCGGGCATAGGCTAGGAATCTCCACCCTCCTTCGTATAAGAGTAGTAGTGGTAAGCAGAATAGAAGATAAAGCTCTCCAAAGAAAAGCTCTCCATTTGGGTGGGACTTTGAGAGACCATAATGCATTTCAAACATCATTGGGTGGGACGGTGATGTCACATAGCTTCCTATAAACATCCTTAATAGAGTAGCAACCCCTAATGTCACCATGCCAGAGCCAAATATCATTGCTATCAATACAAACCGGGGTCTGCAATATCAAAGTCGTCTCTCTCTGATCAAAAATATTATGAACCATATCAGTGTCCCAACCTCTTGTCACGGGGTCTATCAGTTCGCTCACCAAGAAGTTGGGGTTTGCCGTGGATGGGACCGAATGCACAAAGGGGTCATGTGGGTCAGGCAACCACGGGTGGGACCAGATATTTGTATCCCTAGTTCCCTACCATCTCCAATCATGTGCCTAACTCGAGACTTAATCAAGCCCTGACTAGCCATAATACTCCTCCCTACATAGCTTGGGCTTCCCCCAACGGTAGCCTAAAAAAAAGAAGACCTGGGGTAGTACCTAACCTTAAAAAGACGAGCCACAAGTGATTTAGGATTAGTTAATAACCGCCACCCCTGCTTACTAAGTAAGGCCAAGTTGAAATCATGTAACCGCTTGAAACCTATGCGCACAAACTTCTTAGGGACACACATTTTATCCTATGACATCCAATGAATGCCATCAACAGAGCCATTTTTCCCCCCACCAATATCTATTCATTAACCTTTCCAGTGCCACACACAGCGTTTCAGGTAAAAGAAAAATACTCATAGTATATGTGGGCATGGCCTGAGCCACACTCTTTAAGAGCACTTCCTTACCAGCTTTAGAGAGCAACCTCTTATTCCATGATCCAAACCGCTGCCTTAGCTTCTGTTCAACATAAGAAAATACAACCCTTCCATTCATGCCAATCACAGATGGGAGACCCAATTACCTTCCAAAGTCCTCAACTTGGGCCACCCCCCCCCCTAAAGCCACTGCAATATCATCTTGCATATCAGCACTAGTGTTCCGGCTATAGGAAATGTTAGACTTATGAAAATTCATGGACTGACCCGAAAAAGCCTCATAGGTCTGCAAACAAGCTTTTACTTCCAAGGCCTCCTGCAAATTGGCTTTAAAAAAAGAGCAGGTTGTCACCAACAAAGAAAAGGTGGGAGATGGGGGGGAGTACCACGGGCCACTCTACACCCATGAATAAGTCCTTTGTTATGGGCATCATGTAACAGCAGAGATAAACCTTCAACACATAAAATAAACAGGTAGGGAGATAAAGGATCCCCTTGTCTCAACCCCCGAGTAAGGGTGATCAGCTCACTAGGTTTCCGTTTACTAGCACCCTATACCTCACTGATTCCACACACAGCATAGCAAGCTTCACCCATTTATCATCAAAACCTAGCCTCAAAAGCATTTGCCTCACAAAACCCCACTCCAGTCTATCATAAGCCTGAGCCATGTCAAGCTTCAATGCTGCCCAACCAACCCTCCCAACTGTTTCCATCTAAGATAGTGACCTACCTCAGAGGCAATCAATATGTTATATGAAATGAGCCTGCCAATGAGGAAAGCACTCTACGACTTCGAAACCACTGTATCCAAAAAGGGTTTCATGCGATTAGCAATCATCTTGGCCATGATTTCATAGACCACATTGCATAACGCAATCGGTCTCAAATCTGTCACAGATTCGAGGGCAACTTTTTTGGAGATCAAAACAATAATAACATCATTTAATTCATGTGGAAAGGAAACCTGAGAAAGACTCGCAAGAACAAAATATGTAACATCCTTACCAACCATATCCCAAAAGTGCTGATAGAACCCTGGATTCATGCCATCCGGACCTGGCGACTTGTCCTTACCCATGGAGAAAAGGGAATTTCTCACTTCCCAAGCTTCAAAAGGTCGGAGGAGGGACGCATTCTGCACTGCTAAAACCCGGGTCTGCAAAGTATCGACATGAAAACTGTCGAGGTTACCATTAGAAGTGAAAATATGCTCATAGTACCCGGTCACCAAACTCATCAGCCCGTCACCCTCCACCCAGCTCCCACTCGAATCCTTGAGCTTTAGAATACAATTCTTCTTCCTACGGTACGAAGCATATAGTTGAAAGAACTTAGTATTCCTATCAGCCCCTTGCAGCCAGTGTTGCTTAGCTCTTTGTCTCCAGAAAGTCTCCTCTTGCATCATTAAACCATTCCAACTCCGCCTCAAGAGCCCTAAACCGCACTAGGACTGTTTGTCAAGATGGCCCCTTAACATATTCATTTCCTTGCGCAGAGCCTCGTTCCTTCTTCCAAACTTATTATACCTATCACCACCCCAGCTCTTCAACCCACGGCCGCACCTCACTAGCCTGCCTTGGAACGGGAAACAAGCCGAGCCTCCACCACCTCCCTACACCCCTCCCCCAGCAACCACGCATTCTCAAACCTGATGTTTCGAGAAAACGTTGATCCGCCCCTGCCGCTCAAATCCAAGAACAAGGTCGAGTGGTCAGACGAGAAAGTCTGCAAGTTATAAACTCTAGCCTGATCGTGAATCGTACTCCAAGCCTGGGACGCCACCACTCTATCCAGCCTCTTCTCCACCCAGTCCGTAGTGCCTCTACCTCGTTCCCAAGTGTAGGGGTAACCCATCATTGGTAGAGTGACAAGGCCACAGTCCTCTAGCGCCTCCCTTCAATGGCTTGGAGATAGAGGACACCCATCATTGGTAGAGTGACTCATCCCGTTTGATCAGCTTCATCCTCCTCTTCAATGGCTTGGAGATATCCATCATAAACCGTACCCTGAAGAAAGTTCTCCATGGAGGCTGGAAATTACGTTCATCTAGCCGAACCAATACTCCAAGGAAATTCCCCACCCTTTCCAAAACCTGTTCAGTGCAGTAGCCCATAGGAAGATCATAAACTTGGACCCAAAGGTCCAACGTATTCAAGGGAACCTGAGCCGGATCCTCACCCTCCTGCAGAAGTTGGCACACTAGGGTTGCATTCTCAAAAGACCAAGGGTCCTCCTCAATCACGCGCAACATGTCAAACTCAATAAAGAACGTAAAAATGTAAAGATTCGGGTGCACCTCCGCCACCTGAATACCCATCAAAGGCCTCCATACTGACGCCATAACTTGCTTCATCACATCGGTCTTGACATTACGATCGGTTAGAAACCTTCCGGCCAACTTCCAGTACCGTGCTTCTACCTCTGCTACTCCCCCATGTTCATGTCCAATATTTTGATACTCTTCAGCTTGCTAACTTGCCAAAATATAAGAAACTCACTAGATGTAATTGGGTGTAAATGCAAACCAACTATAGAGTAGATGACCCAATTGAAAAAAAAAAAAAAAAAAAAAAAAAAAAAAAAAAAAAAAGAGCTAAGTTAATGGCTAAATACACTCAGATAGGAGTCACTAAACAAGGTTATCTTGAGACATTCTTGTAAGTGGCAAGAACAACCACAATAAAAAAAAAAATTATTAGCAATTGAAAAATAAAATGTCATCTATAACCAACGTAGGAGATTTATGTGAGGAGGTTTATATTAAACTACAATCTAGGTGCAATACTGTCAAGTTGCTTCTGGTCTTAAATAGGCAAGTAAGCTCACAATTGCTGAATTGCAGCCTCTTTATGGACTATGGTCCACTAAAATGTATCCCTTTTGGGCCTTGAAATTCTTGTTATTTCTCATAAAGAAATAATTGGGGCCAAATAACCCGTAACTCAATTTGCATGGACCATGATTCACACAATTGTGAATTATGAATTATTATTTCGCATTATTTCCTCTTCGCAGTATAAATATTATAAATTTACAGTACAGAAATTATGAATCTACAGTATAGAAATTATGAATCTACAATATAGATTTTATGAATCTACAGTATAGAAATTATGAATCTACAACATAGAAATTAAGAATTTACCCATGTGTTCACAATGCGCATGGTGAACATGTTTCCACAGCATAATTTGCGCAAAATGTCAATGCCGTATCTAGTATTAATAGGGAGTC